CTGAAGACCTCAAATTATCTGTAGTTCTACCGCTTCATAAGAATGCCACCCAGACTATAAATTGTCTCTATAATAGAGTATTTTTTTGAGGTACAACTAATTTTGGGGAATCATTTCCTTGGGGGTGAGAATGAATTCTTTAGCATGTTTTTTTTATCTGCCAGCCTTTCAGAAGCTTTCTCACACGATGCTACCCAGCCTATAAATTGTCTCTATAATAGAGTATTTTTTTGAGGTACAACTGATTTTGGTGAAACATTTCCTTCTTGGTGAAAATGAATTTTTTAGCATATTTTTTTATCTGCCAGCCTTTCAGAAACTTTCTCACACCATGCCACCTAGCCTATAAATAGTCTCTATAATTGAGTATTTTTTTGAGGTACAAGTGATTTTGGGGAATCATTTCCTTGGGGGTGAAAATGAATTTTTTAGCATATTTTTTTATCTGCCAGCCTTTCAGACGCTTTCTCACACCATGCCACCTAGCCTATAAATAGTCTCTATAATAGAGTATGTTTTTGAGGTACAACTGATTTTGGGGAATCATTTCCTTGGGGGTGAAAATGAATTTTTTAGCATATTTTTTTATCTGCCAGCCTTTCAGAAGCTTTCTCACATCATGCCACCTAGCCTATAAATTGTCTCTATAATAGAGTATTTTTTTGAGGTACAACTGATTTTGGGGAATCATTTCCTTGGGGGTGAAAATGAATTTTTTTGCATATTTTTTTGTCTGCCAGCCTTTCAGAAGCTTTCTCACACCATGCCACCCAGCCTATAAATTGTCTCTATGATAGAGTATTTTTTTGAAGTGCAACTGATTTTGGGGAATAATTTCCTTGGGGGTGACAATGATTTTATAAAAATATTTTTTTATCTGTCAGCATTTCAGAAGCTTTCTCACACCATGCCACCTAGCCTATAAATTGTCTCTATAATAGAGTATTTTTTTGAGGTACAACTGATTTTGGGGAATAATTTCCTTGGGGGTGAAAATGATTTTATAAAAATATTTTTTTATCTGTCAGCCTTTCAGAAGCTTTCTCACACCATGCCACCTAGCCTATAAATTGTCTCTATAATAGAGTATTTTTTTGAGGTACAACTGATTTTGGGGAATAATTTCCTTGGGGGTGAAAATGATTTTATAAAAATATTTTTTTATCTGTCCGCCTTTCAGAAGCTTTCTCACACCATGCCACCTAGCCTATAAATTGTTTCTATAATAGAGTATTTTGTTGAGGTACAACTGATTTTGGTGAAACATTTCCTTCTTGGTGAAAATGAATTTTTTAGCATATTTTTTTATCTGCCAGCCTTACAGAAGCTTTCTCACACCATGCCACCTAGCCCATGAATTGTCTCTGTAATAGAGTATTTTTTTTTGAGATATAAATCATTTTGGGGAATCATTTTTTTGGGGGTGAAAATGAAGTTTTATTTATATTTTTTCATCTACCACCCCTTTAGAGATTTTCTCAGTATATGCTATTTAGCTCATTAATTACTTTCAATACCATATATACAGTAATCGGTAAGTGAAAATTCGAAGAAAGGTTTTGGGTTAACTCTTTTTCCTGCGAATTATTTAATTAGGGTGGAAAATGTTTCTTCCTATAGCTTATTCTCGTGCATATATATTTATTGTTGCGAGCTGTATCCTTCACAATCACAGTCTGGTCGAGGATGATGACGCCACTGGTCATTGGGGTATTTTCGGCAAATTTTCCGCTAAATTTTGTCTGCCAACTTCAATTATGCTCAGTTCCGAAAGATCGCCTAAGACTCTCAAATTATACAAAGATTCACACAGGTTTGAGGAAAACCGATAATGAGTAGTAGTAGTAGTAGTAGGTCTTATATATATATATTTAATTTGAAAGCATAAAAACCCTGATGAAAACCTTGTTACAGAGGTGGTATCATCAAAATGGCTCATAGTACATCGGTTTCCAGAACTGGCAGGCAATGAATGGTTGGACCGCTGACTTATTCAGAAAGAGTTTTTTTTAGAGGGGTAGTGCTAGCATTTCACAGAAGGTACTGCTCCAAGCAAATAATGCCAAATATATAGTTTTTTTGCCAACATTTAAGGATAAAAGCGGCTATATAGAAAAATAAGAAGAAAGAATCGAATATGCTACAATGCAACAGGTAATTGCTTCCGGTTTTTATGAAAATGGCGGTCAAAGGTCTATTTCTTCTTATTTTTCAAAGTAAAATTTTAACAAAAAATGGATGAAGATTGTGTAGCTTTCTATTTATAGACATTTTGAAATTATACCGACGTCAATCACTAAATTAATAAAAATGTTGTTGCAAAAAGCTCTCACGTATGGATCATTTTCAAGATGTTTATATCTACCTCAAAAATAAATAGAATTCCATGAAAATACGTTACAATGTATCCTTTGGAGAAGCAAAAGATGATGATGATCTACTCTACACCTTTCTTTGTTACCAAAAAAGCTTCTGATGGTGGTTGCAGCTAATAATAGCATAACAATATATGGCTCCTGATGCGGCGTATATTTGATTACAATGGGAATAGCGCGCATTATGTTTGCGGATACATAGACACGTCGTGTAAGCAGTGACGTATAATGTGAATATACAATATGTAGCTTTGGTTGGGCTCAAACAATACCGATGCAGCAGGTCGTGCAGTCGAAGCGTTCGCTCTTACTCAAGGGCTGACCCAACTGGTGACGACCCCTACTTTTTTCCCTCGCGTCTCATCACACGCCAGTAGCCTGCTGGATCTCTTCCTGACCACGCATCCTGTCCCCTACAGCACTGCTGTCCTGTCCCCCCTGGGTAACTCAGACCACGGTGTTGTGGAGGTTAGGTTTCGGTCAGAACCCGCTGTGGCAGCAGAAACTCGTTCAGGCCGCAAAACTTGGCGTTACGGACATGCCGACTGGGAGGGGCTCAGAGACTTCTTCTCTAGCTTTCCTTGGAGAGATGTCTGTTTCACTGACGTGGATGCTTCGGCTGTCTTTTCTTCGATAACCGAAATTATCCACGTCGGAATGGAGGAATGCATCCCTCACACAGTGAAAGTGTCTAAACGAAGGTCCAACAACTGGTTTAATAAATCGTGCGACACTGCTCGCCAGCAGAAAATCAAGGCACGCAGAACCTTCTTACACAACCCCACTGTAGAGAAGAGACAAGCGGACGTCGAGTCCAGAAACTAATATAACGAAGAGGTTCGCAATGCCAAAAACCAGCACGATATAAAAGTTAGGCACAGGGTAATGTCGCAGCGCAATGGCAGTCGGTCTTTCTGGACGCTGGCCAAGCAGATTGAAAAGAACTTCTCACAAAGTAGCCTTCCACCACTTACATGTCAGGATGGAACTATTGTATTCGACTCGAAGGCCAATGCGGAAGTGCTAGCCAAGATCTTTGTTGCCAACTCCACCATGGACGTCCCCCCCAACGCCCAAGTGCCGTCAATTCAAAGGGTTCCCTACACTATGCGGGAGGTAACATTCAGGCGTAAGACCGTAAGACGGGTGCTCTTGTCACTCGACATCAACAAAGCTTCAGGTCCGGACTTGATTCCTGCCATTGTACTGAAGAGGTGTACAGCGGAGTTTGCTCCAGTTCTTTCGCGTCTCTTCCACATATCTTACTAATCCAGCACCTTCCCAGAAATCTGAAAATTTGCTCATGTCCAACCCATCCCAAAAAAAGGATCTAAGACCGACGCTTACAACTACAGGCCTATAGCTCTGTTTTCTGTTATAAGTAAGGTAATGTAGAGGTGCATAAATTGCGAGCTTCTGGACTACGTCGAAAGTCACAGCTTGATTAGCGACAGGCAGTATGGTTTCCGGCACCAACAATCCACAGGGGACCTCCTAGCCTACGTCACGCAATTGTGGAGTAAACTCATCCAGTCTTATGGTGAGGCTCATGTCGTGGCTCTTGACATCACGAAAGCGTTCGATCAGCTGTGGCACGCTGCCCTCTTAAGCAAACTTCCATCCTATGCCCTTCCAGAAAAGCCTTGCAGATGGGTGGCTGACTTTATCTCTGGCCGCAAGATATCCGTCGTATTTGACGGGTTCTCCTCTTCATCCCACAACATCAACGCGGGTGTTCCCCAGGTATCGGTCTTGGCTCCGACACTATTTCTCTTACATATCAACGACCTCCTTTCCTGCACGATCAACCCAATCCACAGCTTCGCTGATGACAGCACTCTACATGCAGGAATTCAGAGTGACAAGCCGATCTCTGCCGCTGAGCTGGAAAGAAGAAGACTAGCGACGACTTCCTCTCTGACACGTGGAGGCTATCACTGCTTGGGGACGTAACAATCTTGTACAGTTCAATGCTTCCAAAACACAGTACTGTACTTTGTCGAACAAAAAGCGTCCTAGCGCCCATCCGGTTTCGATGGATGGCCGAGTTCTGCCAAAAAGCCATTCCTTTCGGCTGGTCGGAGTCCAGATCACCGAGGACCTGATCTGGCAGCCGCGGTGCTCCAGCATTTAGGCTTCTGCCTGCGCGGCTGCTTCGATATAAAAAAAATGTTTACATTTTTTACGGCCGAGCTATAGGAAACGGTAGGAATGAGATACGACCCATTTTTGTTAGAAACTTTTTCTTGCAGATCTGCAATGCGGTCTTTTTGCAGTGACATGGTGTATTTTTTGCAGTGATATGGTGTACTTTTGATCCGCGACCATCTTGTTCAATATTTGAAGCATCTCAATTGCATCCTTTGCCGGGATTTTAGCAGTAGTAAGCATGCATGACTTACATATCAAGTTCTATTGCGAAAATACGGGAAACCAGCCCAAAACACTTCGTGTGCAGTGTGCACTTGCATATAGAATACTCAACACCAGATGTTCTCATATTATCACCACATAATTCACATTTCTTTCTCTTATTCTCGAGATCGTCGTCATCAGGCGGCGTCAGTTTGGCATATATTGACACTTCTATTGGTGATGGGCTTTTTAGGGGAAGAAAATAAAACATGATTTACAACAAAATATAATTTTTACTGAAAGTAACAAAATAAATACAGGTTTCTACAAGAACCAACTTTTAAAAACAATGTACATATCTAAAGTACATTAAAATACAGCTAATCCTAAATCACAATCAATTCAATCAATTACATTAACATTATTTTATTTACCTAGGGGGTACTTCTACAACTAGTTCAGGTTGTATTTCAAAAGCAGTATTATCAATGCCTTTCAAATCCTCTATACTTTTTTCCGAATTTCTGAAGTACTCCTCAATTTCCTCTAAAGATTTATTTTTTGTTTCAGGAAGAACCGTTTTGCAAAATATTATTGATAAGATAGAAGTACAGGCAAAAACGATCAAGGTACCACTAAAGTGCATGGCTTCATTCATATTGTTGTAAATTTTCACGCAAATGAATACAAACATTTGGGCCATACAAATGACTAAGCCTGACATTATAGGTCTTACTCTAAGCGGGAACATCTCTCCTACTAAGATCCATGGTAACGGTAACATTCCTATCATACTGAATACCACGTTGAACATTATACCTACTAAAGGAAGATACTTCAAAATTCTTTCTTCATCGCTATTTATTTCATAGTATTTAACGTATGAAGCCACGACGATCATAGTTACTGTCATGCCGAAACTAGAAAACGTGCATAGCGTCTTTCTCCCAAATCTGTTTATGAGAAATGCAGCTACAATTGACATTGTGAATCTTATTGCACCTACAATGATAGAAGCAACGTACTCATTGATGCTAAGATTAGCTTCTTCAAAGAAGTCAACCGCGTAGAACAGCAAAGTGTAAATACCGGAGAATTCTTGCAATAGGAACAATAGTATGAGTATAATGAACGGTTTGACAGTTTGAGGACTCAGTAAAATTTCTTTCAAGCTAGCATCTTTGATATCACTAGCTTTCTCGTTCTCCTGAAACCTGTCCATCTCTTGCTGTGCTAGAGCGTTATTCCTCCTAAGCCAAAGCAAAACATCAAAGGCTTCAGTGAGTTGATTTCTTTTCAAAAGGAAGCCTGGACTCTCAGGCAGGAACTGAACAGTGACTGTTGAGAAGATTCCGAAGATGATGCTGATAAGCGCAATGGTGGACCAGCTGATGTAGTATCCCAAGCTATAGGTGAGGAGGATGCCAAATGAGGCACATATTGGGCCAAGGGATTGCATGAAGCCTCGACTGTCTGCTGATGAGATCTCGCTGACGTAGGTATAGCAGGCTGTAGACATGCCTAGAAAAGAATAATTCTGTTAGCGTTCCAGTGCTTTAGCATATTTATCGTATATGAGACAAGCTAGCGAAAATACTTCGAGAACTTCTTTGATCGCCTATTTATGTGTTGAAAGCATGGCCATGTTTCAAAATATTCGAAATGTGGAATGACTGGTACTGTAAACACGTAATACTTAGCTCAGCTATTTTTGAATATATTTTTCATATTAGTCGGCTAGTCGAGATACAGCAACGTATTGCTGATGTGTTCGGTTAAGTTCAAATATTATCATTTAGAGCTTTCGATAGTGAAAAATATTTAAAGTGGTTTTTGGAGCTGTTGAGCCGTGGTCGGGTTGGATTTGGTCCAGAGCTTTCGTCTACATCTGCGGTAGCCATGTTCAGTGGCGCTGTCGGCGAAAGCGAAGTGCTCGGCTTGGCGGGTCGACTGAAACTGATCGGTTAACTGGATGAGCGTGCGGTTTTATAGGCGATCGGCGGACTGAGGACTGAGTTGTCTGGTGGGGTTACTGTGGGCCTCTGGAGCGACGTGGTTTTTGTGCTGTGTTTTTTAGAATTGGGAACCACGTTTTGTTTAAAGCAGAGTTCCCCAAACTTTTTTGTGTCGTAGACCCCTTGCCATGTTTTTCCGTGTTGGGTAGACCCCCTACTTACCTGATATTGATTTCCTGTAAATTTCTAACTGTAGTGAAGTTTAGTGTTAAAAACTGTTAATTTATACATTTATTAATTGAATTTAAATTAAAACTAATCAAAATAAAATTTTGTATCTGTTATGTAAAATATACGTAACATTATATAAACCAATAAGTGCTCGCATTTCGAATAAGTGCCCGCATTGAAAAAAAATAAGAGGGACAAAATAAAAAAAAGTGAAAAATAAAAAAAAAAGTTTTTTACTTAAAATAGTAGAATAAGCGAGTTCGTTTATTAATTATAACATAAACGTATGTTCTACAATAATTTCACTGTTAGTTTGATTAAATTCCGCTTCTTAAAAGTTTAAGTTATCTAAAAATAGGCAAAAAAATTAACGAATTTTAGTGTGTACCTATCCTTGAATTTTCAGAATAATTTAAAAAAAATATTTTCTATAAAGGGGGGTTCTTTAAGAAAAACAATGCGGGCACTTATTCCCAATGCGGGCATTTATTGGTCAGACACCAATAAACATAAAATAAACTATAAATATAATAACATAAGCAATAAGTCAATATTTTTAGTGAGAACCTGATGCTTTAATAATATATTATCAACATTTGGCGTCAATTTTGTAAGGGTTAATCTTAAATCTCCTCGGCTAATGATGTCCAGTCTGATTCTTTTTTCCGTTAAGAGATTGGTAATAGCGCTGAACCCCCTTTCCACTAGTTATGACGATGTAAAGGAAATTAAAAATTTCCTCGCTATATTCCATAATACGGGATAAGTAACGGGTATGTTGTTTTGCAGCCAGAATTGCTGATATCCGTTTTTAAACTGAACCTTAAGTTCTTCGTTTGTACTTAGTTCAGTCAGTTCCTCTTGCATTATGACATTCGTTTCTTCTATGTCACCATATGGATTAATTATCCATGGTGGTATTACCATAGTCAAAACATCCTCAAACCTAGATTCAAAATCTGAATAGAGGGCATTTAAATGTTGAACGTAAGTTGAAACGTCGTCTTCCTGGCAGCTTGTCTGTGACAAATTGGGGAACTGTGGAAAATTCGCCCCGTCCAATATTTTGCTTCATTAGTTTAACTCTGGCAAGAAACGCTGATAAGATGGACTTGGTTTTAATCAAATTTAAACTGTCGCCTTCTAATTGCAAATTAACCATATTAAATTTTGGAAACAAATCTGTTAAATAGGCGATGTGTGTTTTCCTGTTCATTAAATTTTCTTTTAAAATTTTATCTTTAGTATACAGAAATTCTAAAATAGTCTCAAAAAGTGCAAAAAATCTTGTCAAACATAAGCCTTTCGACAGCCAGCGTACTTCAGTGTGAAGGAGTAATTGATGAAACCATGTTAACATGATCCAGTTCCTCCTGCAGGTATTGAGGTTCACAAATTCGATGTGCCCTATCTATCATATTTTTAATGACACCTCTTGTTTGCCCAGGATGATGGTTGGAGTCCTTGTGTATATATCTATCAGTGTTTGTTGTTTTGCGGTAAATTCTGTGACCCAGCAGTTCTCTCGTCTGACCACCAATACGTCTAGGAAGGCCAGTTGATTGTCTTCTTCTATCTCCATTGTGAATTTGATTTTGGGGTGAATGCTGTTTAGGTGATTTAGGAACACTGCTAGTTCTGTTCCTCGAATTAGCCGTGAAAGCCTTCATTCTTCAATTATTTAAAGTGGGTTGACAAAGTTGCGCTATTTAGAAACAAATTTGCGCAGATTCTATGTCAGAGTCATTTCGAAGCGCAGTAAAATAACTTACTCCACGATTTATGTTATTAAAAGTCACGTTTCATCATGAGGAATATTACAAAAATGTTCACTCAGTAATTTTGTGTATTTGCTTGAATGACAGAAAAAACAAGTTTTTTAAACTTTTGAAACTTAGTTACCAGCTAGAAACCGCCAATTTTAAATTATTTCTGATGATGTATACCTTGCCAACGAGCAAAGTGGACTGCATTGGGCAAAATAGAACAAGCTTACACGCACCTCGCTATACCATTGCATTATCATGGCACCATTATCCCTTTCGTAGTCGCACTTCGTTGAACACATCCAGCAAAGGCTTGAGTTTTGTTAGGAAGCCAAGCTTACAAACTATGATAATTCAAATTATTAACAACATGATTCCTCACAAAAACATCCCGCCAATTTCAGTGGCTATTGAGGAGGATTTGAGCTATCAGTTCAGACCTAAGAAGCCACGAATACTACTTCCATATATTCTGCTTTTGTATGGTTGAAGTATTTCGGTACTTAAGTTCTGATTGATTCTTATAGCTGCCTAAGAAATGCGCATCACGTCTATTTTATGAAGGTGAGACATTTCTCAATTGAAGTATAAGGAACTTGCAAATTACCAAAGTAAATGACGCATAGCTATGGATTCTGGAACGGTAGAGATTCGCTATATTTCTACCTACCTGCTGCAATGCCTGTAACTAGTCTTCCTGCGTACAGCCAATTGACATCTTGAGCTAGCCCCAAACATATCCATCCCAGTATGAACGGCACACTACTAATTTGTATAGACCTCTTCCTTCCAAAGTATTCGGCAAATATTCCAGAAGTTATTGATCCTAGTGGGGTTGCGACTGCTCCCAAACTAGCTGAAATAGGTAGAACATTATCAATCTTTGGGCTATAGGAATGAAAGCAAATGCAAAAAGTCTCAATCCTCCTAATATACAGGGTGTTTTCAAAGTTGAGTCATTCTTTTAGCTACTTTTAGAATTATTCAAAAGGAGTTGATATAACAAATATCACCTATATAAAAGTTGCATAATAAAAGAGATAGTAAAAGATCTTATTTTCTTAAAAATAAGAATGTTATACAGATTTTTTGATATTCTCAACCACTACCGTTTGAAATCTTAGTGTTTTTGCTTACTACTCTTATCGTTGATCTAAAGTTTGCATACTTGTGTTATTGTATGGTTTTCAGTACGAGTCATTGGTTCCATCAGTTATATCAGTCTTTCAAAATAGTATGTATATTTTCATTTATCTTATTATTTTGTGCGAAAAATGGCCCATGTTTGCGTAAACAATGAACTAGTGGACATGATCCTAACATACGGAGATTGCCAAAAATATGCAGCAGCAGCATGCAGGTTGTATGCGGAAAGAAGAAACCATCCGACCCCACGGATGTTTGTAAATTTAGTTATTAGACTTCGGGATACAGGACATTTAAAAGAACAAGGAAATCACGAAGGATGCCTGCTTAACCTGAAATGTTACAAATTGAGGAAGACAATTAAGAAATGGTCGAAAACGACCCAACAATGGGTACTAGAGTCATAGCAGCTTAAGTTAAGGTTTCTCATTGTAAAGTGTGGAAGACAATAGGACAACGACAGTATTATCCTTATTATCAACGGGTGCAAGCGTTACAACCTGAAGATAAACCCAGGAGAGTTGCATTTTGCCTGTTGCTTTTAGAATAGTTCAGCAGAAATGAAGATTTTACGAAATTAATTTTATATACAGACGAGACCACATTTCCACGAAATCGAGTGCACAGTTTCCACAACAATCATGTTTGGGCAGTAGAAAATCCACATGCGGTGAAAATAACTCCTTTTCAACATAGATTTTCATTAAATGTTTGGGCTGGCGTGATAAATGACATGCTTATTGGACCCTACTTTTTTCCAGTGCTGACCAGTGCTATTTATTTAGATTTTCTTCGATACAATCTGCCACAATTATTAGAAGATGTTCCTCTAAATATGCGACAGAATAATTATGTGGTTTCTACATGATGGGACTCCCCCACATTTTAGACGAGAAGTTTATGAACATCCATTTTCTTGTGCTGCTTGCTCCCGGAGTTGACGGCTTTGAAAACGCCCTGTGTAATTGATCCAAAAGAGTGGCATCATTCTAAGGACAGGATGTGAAAATTATGTTGCGATACGAATATCTATGTCACAGATTTAGCGTTGTATTCGAAAACTGAATAATAGCTGAACTTCTCGGTCAAAGAAAAAAGTTGTAACATCAGAAAGTTACTTTACCTCCAAAAACGGTTCGATTTTGAATTTTATGCACATCCGAATACGATATGATAGTAGTGTTTTTGTATATAATTATGTTCAATGAGCGATTATGGCGACCAATCCATGACACCGTGATCATGACATCCGCTTTGTAAGATCAGTGGAAAAATTATTTTTCTCTACTTAATCGCTATCATTCATAAACTAAATTATTTCTACTGCTCAAGTATCATATACCTGAAAATGGGTTTTATCTAATCTCACACAATCAGGCTGTCTCTTGTAAAACCGCTTCCTGGTACTGACCATGAAACCATAGTTCTACAAATCTCTAAACACAATTTTACTCAAGTGAAGTAAATGATGCTTTCTTATCTTCATAAAACTTCATTTGGGTACATGGATAGACAATCGCTGACTATGATAAAGGAAAAGTACTGATGAGACATGTGTGCACCGTATCAACTAGACAACGTAATCAGGGCAGAAGTGCGTGAGAGCAGTGTTGCCAGCCGGGTCTATTCTGGGTATTCTTACACAAGAACACAGTGCTGAAGTTTCCTTCAATAGTCTAGGAGCAGTCACCAAGGTCACATGTGCCGCTACATGTCCCCTCATATTATTATCGGGGCCTTATCAGACACCTATAGAAGTATATGAAAGATCGGGTCACGCGATCGAAATCATACTTGTTTGCCCGCAATATTTAGAAATGGCCGTCAATTTGTACAACAGATATTTAGCATATCTTCGTAATCTATGAACTAATTTCAACTGTTTAAAGGTCATTTTACTCATTTTACAAGGTTAAACGTATGCTTACAAGTTTTTTGGATAGTCCAGTTGCTATTCAGGTACATCAAGGTTTTCAACTTTTATCAATATGAGCACTTATTCAAATAATATTACTTTAAATGGCTAAATGGTTTATTTTTGATAGAGTAGAACACAGTTTCAAGTAGTTAAAACTACTATATTCACAAATACAGGACTGTTTTTGCTAATTTTAACACATAATTGAAATAATCCTGCGAATCTCTCAAAGTGTAGGACCATCCACTAAGGTCGCATGCTAGCAATTTTGATGAAATTTAGCCAGAATACTACTACTATGCCAAAGACAAAAAAGCTTTGTCGATTTTGAAAATTAATCCAAGGGCGACAGAGCAACGAGCAAAAATGAAGAAATAGATATAGCTATAATAGTCTCATCATATTAGCAAATTTCCCCGAAATAATTGTAAAGTCTGCTTTTATTGGTGCAAGTTGTTTAAGTAGGTATTCAAAACATGGACGCATAAAATGGGTACACTAATTTTTGTGGGAAAACTTTTTATTTGACAACAAAGAATGGGAAGATGTGTTTTTTGGGATTCAACCGAAAGTGTTGACAAGAACGAGACAGCTTTCCATGTAAAATTCCTAGGTATTTATGAGACCACATGTAAAAAGATCCGACTAATAGCTAAAATGTTTTGGCCGAAAAACGAGGCGAAATGCAAGTTTTGGCACTCGTTGGTAATGCGACGATAATTTCACGCAACTACTTAAAGTTTTAAAACAACGGCGGATGTGTCTTATCATCTTTTGTTTCGAATTACTAACAAATACATGTTTCAATTTGTTTAGAAGAAAAAACGTAACCCATCCTTTTTTGCATAAAAATAACATTTATCCTCCGGGATGGTCTGCGATTTATATCGGCAAGGTAAGCTAGTGCATTTTGCTATAGTATGCCCTTTGAACTAACCCTATATATTGCTCACTAGGCTAGTAGTGATGACCGGAAAACAGGTGTTTTGGGATAAACAATTAGAAATCCTCAAAAACTACTTGACCAATCTACTCCAATTTTGTTGTGGTTATTTAGAAGTACAAATTCTACGAATTTGAAGAATTTCAAATATCTGCGAGAAACCATCGTCGCCAGCAAGTACCAAAACCTGCAGTTTGCCTCGGTTTTCAACCATAACTATTTTGCTATTAGTCGGATCTCTTTACCTCTTTACGTGTGGTCTCATTTTGTAGGTCTCATAAATACCTAAGAATCTTATATATATATATATATACTTTTCGTTCTTGTCAACACTTTCAGTTGAATCCCAAAAAAACATGTTTTCTCATCCTTTGTTACCGAATAAAGTTTCCCCACGAAAACTGGTGTACCCATTTTATGTTTCCATGTTTTGAATACCTCCTTTAACGACGTTCAGCAATAAAACCAGACTTTACAATTATTGCGCAATATGATTAGACTATAACCTCCTTTTTTGACACTTCACTCCTGCTCAGTTTTAGAATGACGAATTTTGCATTTTTTGGTGAACTATTTATTTATCCTAAAATTTGTAAAGTAGTAGGTAATTCGTATGTTTCAAGTTTGGGAAATGTAATGCTTTGGTTTTAATATTTTGTTGAAGAGATTAACTGTTGGGCTCTGAATGTACTGATCTAGGTCCAACAAATTGTAGATGATAGGCTCAAACGTTTAAAAGCTGTATCAAATATTTAATTTGTTGTTAAAATATATGGAAAGAAATTTTACTTAGACTTTAAAGTCAAAGAAAATAACACTGGCAATTTTCATACAGAAATACATGTATTTACTTTTTATCAACTATCCTCCAAAGTTTTTTTTTAATTACGATACTTCAAAAATAGTAAAAAATGCATGTATTTTCCTGCTGCATAAGTTGAATTTTACGTTCTCTCCTTGGAAAATCACGCTCATGCTATTTTCAAGTTCTTTAAGTGGTCAAATTGAAAATTTAAATCTGTATACGTACATTCTCTCAGATAAGCTCGAAAGCGCAAGTGCGTTATTTTAGGCTACTCCTATCAATATAATTCGTAACACGCCACTCTGAAATTCTGGATAAAATTCATCAAAATAAAACTTAAATGTAAATCTAATTGGAAATAGACGGTATAAGTAGGTTAACATTATTTTACGCATATACGATTTCAAAGTCAAACATACCACCGTCATTATTTTTTTGGGGTGAGGAGCATCTTCGGAACATCTCTGTATAAAATCACCTAGTGGATTGTATATTTTTGATGAAGTAGGATACACCCTGTAGACTGTAAAGGGTAGATAAGGGTAGGGAATAGAAAAGTTGGACAGAAACATGGACAGCTATAGATATCAAACTATCGCCTTTTCGGGTAATATCCCTTGACAAAATGGTGTAGAAACTGTTACATGAAAAGTTTCACAGCTCTACCATTTCCTGCAATAAGGTAAATTATAAAACATAAGTATACATCAAAAAGATATTTAATGCATTTATTGTGAATGCTCGATGACGGTGGTCCGATAAGCTTACACACCTTAATATTCTTTCAACACCTCGACATTGGCGTTACAACTCTGTATTACGCTAGACACTTGTGTGAGTAATTATTTATCCGTTAATTACTTCCGAAAATGTCGACCGGTTAACATCGGAAATAAACGGTGAACTATCTAGAGCAAGGCGTATTGGCTGTCGGTCGCTCTTTCTCGTAAACTCGACCGAATCTTTTTTTCATCTTGTGCTTGCATTGGCATTGGATTTCCGAACTGTCAAGGTTATGGCTCCGGCCGGATCCCTTGGAAACGATATAGGCGCGTTAACCGCAAGTTTTCCTTCATTTGGAGAGTATATATGGAATTCTAGATCTCTATCGCAATATAGGTGTTTAACTTTGACTGTTGCTTGGTTCAATTGATGCTGATAAGGTATCAAAATGTTATCTGGGACCAAAGCATCTTTACAGATGGCTGGTTGGACTCATGGCAACTGTGTTAAAAGGGTACATTCATAGATTTCAAAGATAAGCATGTCATGGAGACAGTTACGATCCAGCCCTAAAGAACCCTCGAACAAGATAAAGGAAACTAAAACACCTTCAGTTTCCTGAAACTAAGTATATGGATTACAAAAAATTGTCCTAAAAAAATGATTTAATAACAACAATTTATATATACAGTTCTTTAAAAAAGGTCCCCCCTACCAGCTAGATAGCGCACAGCCGCCATCTTGAAATGTTCACCTGTTTTTTTCAGTTAGGATACAGTATCCAGGCGTCAATTTAATTATCCCAAATACCAGTTATAAATTATAATTTGCATTCCTATATGTCAACTTGAAAAGTAAATAAACAATCATTTTTCAAATAACGACACCTATCATGTCTATCCAGTTATGTCTTCGATTAAAACCTGAAGCGGTCAATTTTCTAAACGCCTTCCGTAATACGGTACTTACTGCTTATTTCAAGGTTGATTATGTTTACAGAGTTTCATATAATTAGCAATTTGGAAATGAAAGACCATATAAATACAACAGTCTATGTTGATTGAATCATCTAATTATATTTTTATTACCCATAACGTACAGGTTTTCTCAAACTATTCAGGTACTAAAACAATCTATTATAGTAAGATTGGATGGAGATTACGGAAAAATGTTTATACAACGTCAGTAATGAACAAAACTTTCCAGAAACGTGGCAATAGTAATGATTGTTTTTATCATTTCTTCATAATTTACAGGCCAAGTATAGTCAAATACGCTGAGTTTCACTCTTGGAAACTTACAGTGAACCTAAAGAAAATATCAGTTTAAGTTAAGAATGCACTTGCAAAAACTACATTCTAAAATAGCTATAACTACATATTTCACACTAATTTTTATTGATTCAGTTATCTGACAAGCTTGTAATCAAGAGTATGAATCCCATAAAAATTGGGAGAGGAGGTCATAGAGATCAGGACAACTAAATAAAGTTGGACCCTGCTCTAGAAAAGAGATTATAGATAGATTTTACAATAGAATAATATAAGAGTAACTGGAAAGGCTTTAAAACTAGAAATGCAACAAAAATGCAGGATAACCAGTTTATTAAATATAAAAATTAGAACCAAATACTTATTTCGTATATTGAAATATAACCGAGAGGGCAATGGGTAAATATTTAAACTGTCTTACAGTAAGTGTAAAAGGATATCCATAAAAATGTTGTACCTCCATTTACTCACAAGAATATAATTCCATTGTAAAATCAGTCTGAACATGTTTAGTACTTACACCAGTAGCAAAGAAATATTCTAATCGCAAAAAAATTTGAAAATGTAATATTATGATTTTTGGATGTTATATAAAAGCCATCTCACTTATTTCCGTCGGTCTGACTAACCGTCTGTCGGTCTGTTAGCTAGTTCCCGTCTATAGCTTTGAAAGTATCACTCGGATTGAGATAAAATTTTTACACAAGATTACTTACGAAGCCAAGGACGAGAAATCTTTGTAGTTTTTGAGGCTGAACTATATTTAGCGCATATCGCAAATATTGCATTTCTTATCTTAAAATGAAAGATTAGGATGTAACTTGCATGAAAATATTAATTTTTCTTTAAGGAACCTTCTGCTTGCTATTTTATAGAACTTCAAAGTTCCATTTTGAGTGGCAATACTGTGGTATAGCTTTATAAGCTGTTTTTTCTTATTTACACAAAAGTTTGCTCAAAATTATATGAATATAACATACACTGTAAATTACTGTGACACCCCTCATCGTAATAATGCACTTTTGCATTATTCTAATGCTAAAAATAGTTCATTGTTCATTTGTTCATTTCTTTTATTTCGGATAAATATTCCCGGCACTACACCACCATCACTATCATACTCATTGTTGCGATATTGCCAAATCATGGATAGTAATATACCTTCATTTGGTTTGTCAAATCCTTACTAGCGCAAAAATTAGCAATCGGCACAGGATTGTCATGAAAATGCGATTTGGAGGTGTGACCGGAAGGTTTCACTGTACTAAATCCACCTCGTGCTCTACAATAGCGTCAGCTAAATATACTTTTTTGAAGAATGCCTTATGCCCTTCATAAAAGTACTTCGGTTATTGTTTTTCCTATATTATAGTTATAACACTTTTTGTATGTATGTACTTGAAGAATTATTTAAAGTGAAGCTGATGTCACAAAATATATTTATAAATGTGATATATATATATATATATTGTCGAAGTACCCAACAAAAGGCGGAAGCTTTAATTTTTCACCTAACTGGTCTAGACGACAATGACCACGTCTCAAGTTATATATATATATATATATGAGAAATAACTGAAAAAATAGCTGTTGCCAATCACTAAATAATAAAAACATAACAAAGAACATTGCAAGTTCTTTGATGATTTGATTAATTGATCGCTGATCTTTATTTAAGTATCATGTTGGACAATGATATGTTGGCTGGACCTGGAGAGGTGGTCCAAATCGACGAATTGACGTTGGGTATTTTTATATGCAATGACCGCTGGTGCCTCTTGTATTTTTTACGTCACGCGCTGGTTCATTTTCCACTATTTAGACACATACTGTTCAAAACTTCATCTAGTTTTCGGTAAATATTGGGACTACTTCTCATAAAACAAGCCATTTACAATAAAGTAAGGCTTTTATTTTGCACTTTTTATTACGTATTTCTCCCATAAAAGGTACAACTTGGCAACAATGGACATAATTTATCTTATCTGTCAAGAAATGAACGATATAAAATTGCCATTCAGAATTGTTTGTACTTTCAAATATTTCTTATAAACTCAAAAACTTTGATCTCATTGAAAATACGCGAAAATACTGCTTAAGGAATTTCAGGAAGACATTGAAAAATCACATACACAAACACCTCTACACAGTTTACCAAGTAAATTAAATATTTATGTATTTTGAACCGTTATTTTGACTAATAAGCTAATGTTTAATAACACTGCTGGTTTTCAACCCTTTTTCCAAAAAACAACGATTTTTCACAGTTTCACATTTATTTTTCTTAGTACTAAACAAAAAAAGGCAATGTATAAAACAGTATTCTATACTAGAGTATTGCCATCAAAAATGCAAGTTTGAAGTTCTATAAAATAGCAAGCAAAGGGTTCCGTAAAGAAATAATGATATTTTCGTAAAAGTTACAGCCTAATGGTTCATTTTAAAGTGAGAAATGATGTATTTGCAATCTGCGCTAAAGTATAGTCTTACCGTTTTTGAAAAATCGGTCCATTGGCGGCGGACCTACAGGGGACAAAGCGAGAAATATAGAAATCGTTCGAACTTTTGACGTTTCAAAGACTCCTCATTCTGAGAAAAATTATTATAGTAATTAAAATTGTGGGTTGGAGGCTGTAGGCGGGGGAATGGCATTTCTCAATTTATACGTTCTCAACCCCGGTAATTATACATGCTGGACATAATCATTTATATACTGTGCAGGTAAGTGCAGGGTCAACCTACTTGACTCTTTTTTTAGTTGCAGACATACACATATCCTATACTTTTTGTATTTGACAGGAAACGTTTCAAAAACTATTAATTGAATCGTTGTGAATCGTTCAATATATATACGTGATGTTTTGTTTCTGTTCTGAAATAAACATTGACTGTATTATATGAAATTATCGTCTAGAAAGTCTGATGGGCGGTTACAAAAAGGCCACCAGATTGTGCAAAAAATCTTGATCGAATTTATTTAAAATGTAAATATTCCCCATTGTTCGTATAAGAGAGCATTAAATTATTATTATTATAGTTGTAGGTAGGGTTCTTTGCCTTGATCTCCTTTGCAAACAGATCAGCAGATATCAATATTGAAACCCCTCATGTACTAATTTAGTAGTGACATTATAAAGGCTGTCGCAAGAACTAAGGCAATGTCTTTAACAATGAATAACTAAGAAATTTTGGGTTCTCAGGCAAATCAATCAAAAATTATGAAATAGTATATAGTAAATAGTAATCTGCTTACTCCAAATTATGGTACCATAAGGGATCATTTTTGGAGTTTATACAAGGGGTTTCCAACATATCTTAGTATGTTGAACAAAACAAATATTGCTTCTATCTTCAGCCGGTACTATGTAATATGATCTCTGAAGCATATATATACCACATAAAATGAAACATCTGCACCTACCTCTGAGATCTTGACTTACTATTTTTGTTATGTATATTATGTTATTGAACGGCTCCAGAAGCTTTTTAATTGATAGCATAATGGGTATACCCACAGTATTTTTTATACATTTCATGTAATTAACACTCACTCATGAGTAAATTATTTTTAAATAACCAGGTAAGCAACAAAAAAACAATAATACATACACTACCACTACCGTTCAAAACGCATTTTTTGCATATTAGGCTACTAACTTAATTTATTCAACTCACCTATCCAAGACGTTTCTTCCATTGACAGATTTGAAAATTGCCTAGATTCCTTGAGTTGTGGTAGTGAAATTGCACTATACCCCTGTACTATCCCTATAGAGATGGATACTGAATGTGCACAAATGGCCGCCAAAGCCTGAAACAAAGAGAAACAGTGATGACATTTTCAGTGCGGAAAGTACTTTCGCACGGAATACCAGGAGCTTTTACATACTTAGTTCTAAAACAACCCTCACCAGAGCTTTGAAGATTAATTGAGGAGCTCACGTCCAAAACCAGCCCACTTTTTACAGAAATTCATTTCTTCGCGATTCTTTTGATCCAAATCTCATATATTTATTTCCAACAAAAATCATATACCCCTCTTTGAAATCTTATTTATTGTTGATCGTTGAGTGTTGTGGAAGCAGATATACTCAGTCAGAAGAAATAAAACACCCAATAAAAATGGTTTTATTTCAAGGACTTTTCTATACAGTTAGACACGAGCAATATGGCGGAACGGAGTGATCAAATTTTGAAGTGAGAACATTTGCTGTACGCCAAATGTCTCTAATAATATGCTGAGTCACCTCAATGACATACACATTCGTCCAGTCGTAGGGACATGCTTTTGAAGGAATGATATCTTCCTTGAGGTATCTCATCCCAAGGTATTTGGTTCCGAAAAGCTGTTAGCGTTTGTAGAGGATGTGGTATAGAGGCCACTTTTCTTCCCACCGTATTTCACTATGTTCAGTCAGCGAAGTGTCTCGAGACCTAGGAAGCTATTGAAGTCGGCTGACTTGAGCTTTATTGAGGTAGAGTATTGTAGGTCTAGCAATATAGGGCTTTATTTTGTTAGAAGATAGGTTTTCCAAGTGTATGGGGCAATGGCAAAATAAAATGTTCCATTTCCTGGATATACCGCCGACACACTTCCTTAATGGAAACCATAACTGGATTAACTGATACAGTAAGGTGCATCTGACGTTTAACTGAAAACGTTAAATCTTTCTTCACGACGCCGTCTCACTTGTGCCTGTCCGTCATACTTAATCAACATTCATCACTAAAAAACAATGTTGTACCATTCATCGTCCTAATTTGTTTTAGAGAAGCACGATGGACGGGCACGAGTCAGGGCTGTGTTGGAGAAAGAAATGATGTAAGGCTTTCTGTTGAACATCACTTGCACCGTACTGTAGCAATCATGGTTTGAGACTCTGTTACATACGGTATTAACAGCACACAACAGTTATCAACATTCACTAGCACACGACCTTGATCTAACAGGCCTGAATACGCGACAGGATCCAATTCCAAAAGAGCCTGTTGAACATCCTGACGTTTTTTTGTCGGCCTCACCTTAAGAACCCTAAAGTCTCTTGATTTATCAAGAATATGATTTTGGGATTTCAACATTGTGACTAATATGAGGGAAAGAAGAGAACCTTCATGATTCATCAACGTTGACAGCTATTCGGGACCAAGTACTACTAGCTCGAGATAAGATATCTCAGAGAAACAAAAATCACCCACTCAGAACACGACCCCGACGAATAGACGAATGTATTTGTTTATGGCAATGGTAAATTCGTCGATACAACAACCCTGTTCACTCCAAAATTTAATACCTATTTCCTCCTAAATGTATACAAAATTTCTGGCGTCCGTCTGAACTGGTTTTTTAACGAAACCGAAATTTTAGAGCTAGCTTTACCTTCGACCACAATGGAAATCGAAACCGAAACCTCTTATAGATGATCATGGAAGAAAAATTATTTGATCAGGTAATAATTAATATTTTATGAAAACCGTCTCCCATTTGATGCAAGAGGTGTACCTCCAAGAATAAACAAACTTTATACTAGACTTTCTATTTTTAATAAACAATTTGTATAACAAAATATAATCAAGAATAAGTTACTAACGATCTTATTAGCTGACGAAGTTAGGGTAATGGAAACTCATTTCAATTTACCCTGTATAACAAGCTAAAGAGTATCTATCGACAAGAAACCAGGCATGCAGGTTGAAGCAAAAAATCCAAATCGAAACTAACGCGAAAACCGGCTTTTGGTCAAAAAAATCGGTCGGACACTAAAATTTCTTTCTAATGGAATCACTGGGTTACTTTGTTGTCACTGGGTATACTTATATTAGTGTAAAAGAAGCAAATTTTGGAAGTAGGGAAAGAAAACTAAGCGAGAACCAAAGAAAACAGAAAACTGCAATGCATAGCTTAGTTATTTGTATAAATGCAGCGTCAGCTCACTTATTTTATCCGTTTAAAGAATAATGTGATGTTTTTAATCAGTATATAATATATATTGTTTATGTGCACCTCTGTTAGCTAAAGTCGGGCGACATGATCTATAAGTCGCGTGTCTAGAAAGATACTACTGTTTTTTCAGAACTCCGTCTTTCGTTGTCGCATGAGATAAATCGCTTCTATAGATGATAATAGTGACAAATTGATATTCCTTCATTTCGGATTAAGAGATACAATACTAACAGTAAATGAAAAAAATGGTTCATGCCTTCACTATACTTATATTTATACATTCGCCCTCCAGATTAAACTAAAAATCAAATTACAATATTGGTTCCGAGAAAACTTCTACATGTTCTGCTGACAAGTTAATATTTTATTACGATACTGGTAACGATATTCATGGATCCATTGAGCTACATGCAGCAGGCTATCGTCTGTATATCTGGCAAGCCTTGATCTTGACCGATGCGGACTGATGATCGCGTGTCGAGGATCCCAGTTGTTACACGCTAACGCTTGACGCTTGTTTTCATATGATTTATGCACGACTTGTACATATTTTTGGCTCAAGGTCAGAGTATACTTGGACAAAAGCTCGATTAAGCTTAGAAGACGTAGGAGGTTTGGTTAATTCATGTAAGTTTCGCATGCCTTGATGAGTTATTGTTTTCTTCCAATTCTAGTGTTGCGATAAGAGGTTCTGCTCAATCAGGGGATCTAACCTTGAACGCCTCTCTCAAATGTCTTCCTCAGTAGATTTTAAGCTTGCTCATAATCAACATCTCCCAAAAAAACTGTCGAGTAATGTCGCTTGATTGGCGACAGATGGTATGATTTGTTGTAACGGGTGTTTTTTTCGAGGTATAGAACTTTAAGTTGGCATTACTTTTGAAGATGGCGACCGATTTGACAGCTGTCAAGTGATTTATTCTCAGTTTGGTTTTGCAATTCATCATGAATAGACTCACTCCTGAACAACGCTTGCAAATTGTGCAGTTTTATTTCGAAAATAATGGTTCTGTGCGGAAACGTATCGCGCACTACGTCCATTTTATCGTCGACAAAATCGTCCATCAGAGCAATTAATTTGATTATCCATGGAACGTTTTCGTACCACGTTTACTCTAATTGATAACTCGCATCCCCAAAGATGCCGTACGGTGCATACAGAAGAAGCTATTGCTACTGTAGAGCGTAGCATTGAGGAAGACCCGAATCAGTCCATCCGCCATCGAGCACAGGAATTGGATCTGTGTCCATCCACTTCATGGAAAATTTTCGAGAAGGATCTTGGTTTGCGTGCTTACAAAATCCAACTCGTGCAAGAATTGAAGCCAAACGATCATCAGTAGATTCGTTGAATGGGCCCAAAACGAGGTTGTCGTTGTTCCCGATTTTCATAAGCGAATTTTATTTAGCGATGAAGCGCACTTCTGGTTGAATGGCTACGTCAACAAACAAAACTGCCGCATTTGGAATGAAGCTAATCCTCAAGTGTATGTCGAAACACCGTTACATCCAGAAAAACAGACTGTTTGGTGCGCTTTATGAGCTCGTGGAATCATTGGTCCGTACTTCTCCAAAAACGATGATGGCCAGAACGTTACAGTCAATGGTGATCGGTATAGAGCCATGATTACTAACTTTTTTATTCCTGAATTGAACAATCATGATTTCCAGGAGCTGGGGTTCCAACAAGACGGCGCAACATGTCACACAGCTCGGGCTACAATCGATTTATTGAAAGACACGTTTGGTGACCGCCTAATTTCACGTTTTGGACCTGTGAATTGGCCTCCAAGATCTTGTGATTTAACACCGCTAGACAATTTTCTATGGGGCTATGTAAAGTCATTGGTCTATGCGTATAAGCCACAAACGCTTGACCATTTAGAAGACAACATTCGCCATGTTATTGCCGATATTATTGAAGTAGGTTGTGTGGAATAAAAAAATTTATGTAGACTCCGCCTATCAGGAATAATATGTTACGTACATTTATATTCCAATGAAGACCTTTTATTATTATTCTTATTATTATTATTATTATTATTATTATTATTATTATTATTATTATTATTATTATTATTATTATCACTGATTAACATGACTCTGGTGCGATTTGATGCCTTTAAAGTCCAATACTGTTCTTCCTCAACGAAAAAGGCTGAATTATCTGTTTAGGGCTTACATCTCGTCCATAGCGGCAGCTGCTAGGAAGAAGCTAGGCTATTTCTTTAGGGCTAGTAAATACTTTTCTCCCCATGACCTCACTCTGTACAAGGCCCAGAAAACGTCTTGCCTCGAGTACTGCTCACATTTTTCGGGTGTATCCCTGCCTGATGCTGTTCAGAGGAGAGGGCTATCCGACCAGTCGATGACTTTTTCCTGACGGACAGTCTCGGGACCACTTCGCACCGGCGGGTCGGCGGCGATCTGGCTCTATTGTACCGCTACGCCAACGGATTGACAAAGTTTATTTAAGCTCCTCATAGAGCAGCGGTGCCCTGGCATCTAGGCTTCTGCCTGCTCGGCCGCTCCAGTGTAAAAAAGACAGTACTTTTCGCCATCCAAAACTCCTCAGTCTGTACAAATTCCAAATAAAATTATACCAGACACTGGCCTGGACAGACTACACTGCCTATACTTGATACAGTTCAAGCAATCAGAGTTTTTCACTGGATTATAAGTATATTATAATACCATCATTTGGTGTTCCAAAATTAAATTTTTAGGGGATTTTGGAGCGCTCTTTCCGATTTTTCAGCTCAAGCCGCTATAAACAGCGTATTGACAAAATTTCCTCTCTGGTTTGTTTCAAGATGAAAAATCTTATGTCCTAGGTTAAACTAGAAAACATCTACGTGTTCCTCACGAAT